TTAAAATATATTTTTTCTCTTTAAGATGAGTTCTGGGGGCCAGGGAGATAGCTCAGTGGTCTAAGGGCCTCCCTGGGAAGTGCAAGGACCCAGGTTTGATCCCTGGTACTGCATGCCGAGCTGGCCCCAGAACCATGGATGTGGTGGCGCACACCCGTAATCCCAGTGCTGGGGAGGCTGAAACAGGAGGATCACTATGAATCAGCTGTGTAGCGAGACCCTGTACCAAGTCATAAATAAATAAATAAATAAATAATTTTTTAAAAAAGATGAATTCTAAGAATTAAGAGTTCGTAGTTCAAATTTATGAAGATTATGCCTTCTCTCTGCTATGTCATGCTCCAGAGAAATTGTTTCAGGAAAGACCCAACTTTGCTTTTTTATTTTTGTTGTAACTTTTTAGTATTATAAATTAAAAGCATTTGCTTCTTCAATAAATAAAGGTAATATAATTTTTTTTAATGGACTTCAGCCTGGGGATGTAGCTCAGTGAAAAAAGCACATGATTAAATTAATATGCACAAGACCTTAGGTTTAATCCTCGGCACTGCAAGAAATTAAAAAAAACCCAACTAACTAAAATAAAGTAAGTACAAATCAAAAAATAGATTTCATGTTTTTTAAGCAGTCTTAAATTCACAGCAAAACCGAACAGAAAGTACCTGGAGCCGTCAAACGGCCCTGCAGCCTCCTGGCTCTGGCATCTTCCAGCAGAGCGCTTTGTGGTCCTGGTCTGACTTTGAGATTTCCTGCCTCTTTGCTGGCTAGAAAAAAGTGAAACCCTTTTAGAGATATTAACTACTATTAGCTCCGTGTCTGTGAATTTCTTTACACTTTCTTTGCTTAGCGATTAAAAAACAAAACGCGAAGGAAGCAGGGCTGGTTATAGCCTTTGCCCTAGATTGCGGCGCCATCCAAGGGGTGGCCCGGCCACCCTGCACAGCCCGGCTCCTGGCCTCCCGCCCTGCTTTGCCTGGGCAGATGGGACCTAGGGCTCTGCATGGGGAGCCAACCTCCCAGGTGACCCTGATGGACTCAAAGGTGCTTGAGCCACCGGCTTTGTGCCTAGTTATAAGCAAAGATTTGATGCATTCTGTACAGGATGACGTGACCTTCAATCTGTACTGGATTACGTAAGCTGTAACCTTTTGGCCATCGGCCATCGGAGAGGACAGAGCTCGCTGCCAGTTCAGTCCCCTCTGACGGCTTCTGGAAGGGTCACGTCTGCCATCGCGGGTGATGGTAGGGAGGCTGCACTCTGCGTAGAGCAGGCTCATTCCTGAAGTGTTGGGCCCCACCCGCAGGAGCGGTCAGGTCGCCCAGGTTCTCCCTGCCAGAGGCTGTGTCCTGTCGCTGTCTCTCTTGCCAGGGCTCCCGCAGGAGAGCCTGGGAGACGCACATGCCTCGGGTCTGCTTTTCAGTGCAGAAATTTGAAAATCTCAAAATAAACGAATAAATATGTGTACTTTGTGGTTATGCCTCAAAAGAAGAAGAAGGAGAAGAGGAAGAAGTAAAGAAAAATAGTTGAGAAAAGGGGCGCACAGAAGCCATGTCTGTCGGGATCTCCATGCCGTGGTCACTTGCGCCTGCCTGTTCTTTTGCGAGCCGGGCGCAGCATTACCAGGAGCGTTGGGGGTCTCACAGGAGCCGCCCCACAGCGGGTGTCCAGGAAGCCCTGCATTGGTGCAGGCGGCAAGGAAGGAGGTGAACAGCCACGGCCACGGGCTGCGGGCCTGGAGTGCCATCAGGCATCAGGCTGCCCTTGCTGCCTCCCTTGGAGGCTGAGGCAGGCTGCACCCTGCGGGGTGGGGACAGCCGTGGAGGGGGCCAGGCACGGGCGCGAGGCGG